ACTATCTTCCTTACAACTTAGTGGCTATTGGTAGAGAGTGGGGAGGTATATCAGAGGAAGGGGCCCTCACCACATGCCTCCAAGGACAGCTGATGGCCAGCATATAGCACCCAGGTTGTGACACCCCATGCCTGGAACACCTGCGAGGTGTCCTAAATGGGTAGAGGACATGAGGCACCACCCCTCGGAGTGAAGAGACTCTGTAGGGTCTCAGTTGCCAACTCCGAGGACTGTGGGAGTGACCTTAACTTCCTGGCCCCTTAAAGGTTTAAGTCTTATGGTTTGGCCTGGTTGCCCCTTTAAAAGTTCTGCTGCTATAATGAAGAGCCTTTTCCAGCAACTACTCATTGTGTTGCTTTGGGGGGGGGTAGGGGTGGCAGCTCCCACACACTTGCTGTTCCATCTTCTGCATTTTTACTCCAAAGCAACTTGAGCTTAAGTGCACTTACTCTCTAATAAAAAAATGGACTTAAGTCTTCAATGGGATATTTACACTGGAATCCTAAGCATTCATCTATGAATAAGTACCAGTTAAAATGCATAGGATTGTCCTGTTAAAAGTATGCTTTAATGACTAATTAAGCAACGCACACACAGAGAAAGAGACAATATACCACGTAAGTCCTGGCAGCGTCAGGATAAGTCCAGGATGGTGGGCATCCTCTGAAATTTGGGCATGTTGGACATATCTGTCCTGGTCTGTGAGCCACCCATGGGTCCTGGTTTCCAGCATGCACAGTAGTTACAACTTGTGCACATCTATTCAGAAGGAAGTTTCACTGAACTGTTAAGATTGTGACCCTAGTTATAGCCAGATTGCAACATTAAATTGATTAGTTCCTTCTTAGCCTTCCTTCAGTTAAAACAAGATAAAAATTGAAAGGAAGTTATGCAGAGCTGCAAGCAATGATGCAACATACCAAAATGCAATACAAATGATATATTGAATTTTTCAAAATTTTAAATTAAATATCACTGCGTTGAAGAACACAGTTTTATTTGTCCAAAAATGGAGACAGGAAAGCTGAAGTAAGATATACAACTCCTGTGAACCGAAACAGTAATTCCTGGGCCAATCACAATGTGTCTCTTCGGATAGTCAAGGTGGCATTCAGAGCATGCCAACTTTGCATCCGTTCTTCTACCTAGGGCAGAGTAGAGTCACAAGGGAAAGAATTCAGTGAAACAGCAAGCATTTTCTTTTAATTTTGTGCAATCTTCCAATCCCACCAGGCTGTTGTTTTATTGATGACCCTCTAGAGCTTTTCACTAAGTAACTAAATATTTAATGATGATTTGAAAAAAAAACACCACATATTGGATTGTAGGATTTTCTTGACATACAGCATGTACAGGAAGAGTCAAATTGCTACAGAGTTTAACTGATTGAATGCATATTTCAAAGTAACCAAATTAACTGTGTAATTTTAAGAAAATGCGGTCTAATAAGATTTACGAAAACAAAAACAAAATGTTTGGATAAGATTATATCCCACCAAGGAAAGATAGGTGTTGACATTTTAGTGACTTTAAATTGTTCCTGCTAATAATTCTAGCTACATTACAATGGGGATAGCTTTATATGATCAAACTCAATAGAAAGTGATGCCAAGCAAATGGGACAGAACAACATAGACCTCACAGAATACATCTCCCCCTCTTTAGTAATTTCTTTCCTTCCTTCTACCTTGATATCTGGTATTCCAACTGCATCACCCAAAGAAGTAAAAGTAACCAAGAACATAGGACTGTGAATTATTTTTAAATGGACTGTTGTGCTCTGTTGTTTTAAATGTGTTTTAAGACTGATTTTAGTTACCATTTTAATACAATACTTGTTTAATTTCTTTTAAATATTTGTATAATTACTATTTTAGCTTTTAAATACTGTTTTGATTATGTAAGCTGCCTTATTCTAAACAAACAAACAGACAAACAGACAGACAAACAGACAAACTCTGTGATATTTCCATCTTTCTGAGGGAATTACTGGATAGCTCAATGGTTTAGAGCAGCGGTGCCAAACCTTTTTGGGACCATGGACTGGCTGACCCTCCAAGGAAGGCAGGGCCCCCCTGAAGGTGTGTGTGTGTTTTCGGGCACATGTGTGAAGCGGTGGAGGAGCACCTGCCTGCGTGAGCGCTCCCCCATCCCTTCGCATATGTGCAGAGGTGCCTGGACACCCGCCCCACTTGGGCACTCGGGCACATGTGTGAAGGGGTGGGGGAGTGCTCACAATGGTGCTGGCATGTGCACACATGCGCAGCTGTGGGGAAGAGAGTGTGTGCGGGAGGGGGAGGTCTGTCTTGGCAGCCCGGTCTGGCTCAGGCCGTGGACTGGCACCGGGCTGCGGACTGGGGGGTTGACGACCTCTGGTTTAGGGAGTTCAGTTCCCTAATCTGCCTCCTTGACAGGGGCTGTACTTGATCCATAGATTCACTTCCATCTCTGCACTGCAA